AGGCGGCTGGCGGACAAAGGAGTTCCCTGGTGGAACGGGCAGCTCTGCTTGAGGTGCCAGCCTGCCGCGGCGGCGCCGCTGGGCAGGTGGGGAGTTCGCTGCTAGCAGGAACCGCGTTCCTATCTCTAAAGGAGAGGTGCTGGTTTTTTCCTGCACGTGTCAGTGGGACCGTCTCTAACGGAGAGGTGCCGCCGTGTGCTGGCGGAGAGGGGAAATAGCAAGGAAACCTACCAGGAATCCCACTAATTGCCAGAATGCACCACTTGCTTTGCATAGACTTGTAAGCAGCCAACATAAACACTGCAAAGGCAGCTCCAGCATGTGCAGTTGGTGATGTTCAGGGCACACCCAGCTTATACAGTGTCTAAGGCCTGGCGTGGAGGGGTGAAGGTGGTTTAGCAGGGTAGCTGGGCTCCATATACTCCAGCTTGCAAATCTGCACAGCAACAGCCACCACCTTTTTCCTCTTGCTGATCTTCCATCGATCTGCACGTGAATCTCGTTACTGCCCTTGACGTGACTTTGCTGCTCAAGGAGAAAGGCTCAGGGCCTTTTGCAGGCATTTTTAGTAAGTGCTGGTCTGTATCCCACCCCCCCTGCAGCCAGAGGTGTCCTCAGGCCTCCATGTCATCCACTGTGTTCACACTATTAACAGCCTCATGATGTATTGGCTGCCCTGAGCTGCTTCCAGCTGCTGCCTGCTCACCTGCAGGGAATCTCCCTGTGAGCTCCATCATCTGTAAGGACGATTGCAGTGTTACCTGTGCTCTCACTCTCCTGGAGAGTGGCACACAGAATAGTTCCTGGTGTCTTGTAGTTACGGGCATTACGTGCATTCGTCATGATGTGACTTGTGCCTTCCCCAGGCAAATTGTACCTTTTAAAGGACAAAGAATTAAGCTGCAAGAGTCCTGTATTGCTCCTCGGGTAAAATGAGTAGGGTGTGCTCAGGGGCACCGTTCCTGTGCCTGCTGAAGGGCTGACTGGAGCATCAAAGAAAATCACATTTCTCTTATTTTTCCAGTGATTTGAGAGAAACCCAGCCATCAGGCTGAGGTGCAAGCAGGATAGTAAAGAGATAATATCCTAGGTAACTATTTTTCTTCCCTTTCCACATATTTTTCTGCAACAGCCTGTTACATTTGGGAATAAATATAGTCTTCCCTTGAACCCTGATTCTTGGGGGAGATTGATTAAATTCCTTCAAAAGACATAATGGAGCTGAGAGTGGTATTGGGAAATAGGATCCAATTCCCTGTCCCTCACCTCTTTGTTGGCAGTAAGTTATTTGTTGCTTCCTCTGTATATGCCAGAGGAGCTAATGTTTTATCTCTATCTCCCCTGCTGCCCTCTCCTTTGCTCCATAAGTATCAGTGCCTTTTTTTTTTCAGACCATCTAGCTGGTTATGTTGTCTAATTGTATTTATTAGCATAGTTCTCTACAAGGTTTCATTTTTAAGACTGTTACTGCTGTTTCAGACTTGAGGAAGGGGCTTCTGCCCAAAACCGTATGGATTTTTGTTTTGTTTTGTTTTGCAGTACCAGCTAGCCTGATAAAAGATATTTTCTCTGCTTACAAGCCTTTCTACTGTGGAGAAAGAGGAATTTACATCTTTAGCAGTGGGTTGAGTGACAGGGGAACATTTGGCTCTTTTTCTGTAATATGCAGCTAAAAACATCCTGTTCATAGATTTTCTTCATTTGGTTTTATTTTGAAGAGATTGCTCTAGAAATATATATATATATATATACTATATATATGGTAATATTTAAATTTCTTAAAAATTCAGTGTTTGATTCCACTTCCGGGGTTCAGGGCAGAAGCTCTTAGCCACTACTGGTAAGGTAGATGGCCCTTAAAATTGCTTTGCTTTTTGATCTTTTTTGTATTCAGAGCTATAGCTGTGAAATGAGAGATATGATTTAGAAATGTTAGTTAAATAGGTCAAGGCTCCTGTCTGAACACTAATTAGCTTTGGAGTTCAGCTAAATCAATATCCAGTTTTAAAAAAAGCTTTAAATGATATTAAGAATGTTGACATGTAAAATTTTGGCACCACTTTAATGAGTTGTTTTTCAAGCTGATTTAAACTCAGACAACCCTGAATAAATCCCAGGACTAATCTTGGATGTGTTTTAATTGGTTTTGGCTTTGCAAGTAGCACTTCTCAGATACTGTTGCTGAGAATTCCCTGTGATGCTATATTAACGGATAACTATATGACATGTATCTTGTGAAGGGATAGATTTGGAAATAAACTAAAAAAAAATCTTTTTCAGAAAGCAGCATAATTTGAAGAAAAGCGTGGTGCTCTACAACTGCTTTTTGTGCAGGCAGTCCCTTCAAGCATCTCTTGCAGTGAGCCAGGGTTAATTCATTCTAACATGGCTATTTATAAGGGTAGTTCCTCTGCAGCAGAGGGCGTTTGGGATGCCAGTTGACATTTCAATGTTGTGGCAGGTTCTCTTGACAGCACACCTCATCCTTGAGATGTGTGAATCCCTATGGGCTGGTGAAAGTCACAGGTATTTCCAGACAGAGGGAGGTTT